AGCAGACCAGGTCTGTTTTCAGTCCCTAGGAGAAATTCACAGAGGCCTCCCAGCAGTTTAGGACAGTTCTTTCTGCACTGGGAAACAGCTTGTCTGTTTCATTTTCAAATGTCAGTGCTTATTTTTGAAATAAAGGTTTATTTTTCCTTGAAATCTGAATGCTTGGCTCCTGCATGAAGGAATCATCGATGGGTCTTATTAATGCCTTTGGATATTTACAACAAATCAATGAATTTATGCTTTAAAAAAATAAGTTGTACATTAATTCCTTTTTTTTTAATCACAGTTATTTTCTGGGTGAACTGGGCCTGCCAAAAACCCAGTGAGCCTTCACTTACAACAAAGAAACTCAGTGAAACAAAAACAACTCCAGCCATCACAGTGTATAAGAAATGTGGTATTCTGCACCCCTGGTCTCCCCACCTCTCCAGAAAAAAAGCTGGGCTTTACAGCAGGACTCATAGGAAAATATGCTTAGTAGGAATGTATATGTAGAGCCTATATCAGATTGTATGCTGTCTTGGGGAGGGAGGTAAGGAGGGTGGGGAAGAAAATTTAAAACTCAAAAGCTTATGGAAGTGGTTGTTGGAAACTAAAAGTAAATTAATTTTTAAAAAAAGAAAAAAAGAAAGAAAAAAGGTGAGAAGTGCATGGCCTCATCTGGGGCCAAGATTAATAGCTATACTTAGAATCAAGCAATTCAGCCATGTATGGCTGGCATTTCTGAAAGTTTCTTTGACATTCATAAGCAGTGGGACCATCTTATCTTTGTTCTTTTAACAGAGAAACTTCATTCTGCAAGTGTCTGAATATTTCACTTAGAACACTTAACCTTGTTCTGATACCTTTTTAAAATAAAATCCAGATTGGGAGTGGAGTTGAGTGGAATAACATAGCATGAATCACCTAAATCCAATACCAACCTGAAAAACCCTGTTCCCAGCCCTTTACCTGCTGTCATTAACACTGCTCTGCTTTGAATAGTATGGCCGCACCACAGCATAAGCATCAGAAAGTATTTTCTGGGTAGCAGCTATAGAAGAGGGATTAATGTATGATCCAGAGAGAGCTATCCCCTGAATGGCTGCAAAGGCTTAGATCTGGGTGAAGGCTTGGCTCCGGGAAGAGAAAGGAACGGATCGCTATAGAAGACACATAGTAGAAGGAAGGGCAACAGCTGGGACTTTGGGGACCTAAAAGAAGGCAGAGTTGTTCAGAATGACCCAAGGTGCCTGAGGTCAGTGCGTGAATAAGAGTGAAATGTTTTTCCATAATGATTGGGAAAGAAAGGGCACCCTCAGTCCATGAGAGAAGGGATAAAAAAGCTAGACATAGAAGAGTCATAACGTCATCAGGTACATGGTCAAACAGAGTTCGGAGGTGAGCACCAAATTTGTTCTGGATTCAAAGGGCTGCACTTGAGGACCTAGAGGGCCACATGTGACCTCTGGCTAAGGTCTTTGCTGTTCAGTCATTTTCAGTCCCATCTGACTCTTTGTGACCCCATTTGGGATTTTCTTGGCAGAGATAGTTTGCCATTTCGTTCTCCAGTTCATTTGACAGATGAGGAAACTGAGGCAAACAGGGTGAGGTGACTTGCCCAGGGTGACACAGCTAGTCAGTGTCTGAGGCCTGATTTGTACTCAGGAAGATGAGTCTTCCTGACTCCAAGCCCAGCGCTCTGTGCACTGTGGCGCCACCTAGCGGCCTAAGGTCTTACCCAGGCAGTCAGTAGCAGAGCTAGGTCTTCTGATTCCAAATCCAGGAATCTGCTCAGTGACTTTACCATTAGCATCATGCTACCTCCCTTCACCTCCTCCCCAATCCCCAAAGATCTCAAGGGCCAGATAGCTAACACTCACGAAAGGTTGGGGACACCTTCCTCTGTGTATGTGATAGTGGTAGTGATGGTGTGAAGATAATTGCTCTTTTTTCTTTTCTTTTTCAAAAGTTGTATCGGTGTCTTCCATTCTAACCCTGCTGCTATATTTCGAATATACCTCCTTCCCCTCTTCCCCACTGAAGCTTCTAACAAAGGAAAACAAGCAAACCAAGATTGCTAATGCACCTATCATATTTGATGGTACAAGTAGTATTCTGAACCCAGAGGCCACCACTGGCCTCCTCAAGAGACGGTTTCATCCTCTGCTCTCCAGAAGAAAGACTGGGCATCAGAATGAATTCTAGCTCAGGCACCAGGTAGCGTGATTTTCATGTACATTGCTGTGGTCACTGGGCTGCTATTCTCTCAGTTCTGCTTACATGACATCACATCAATTCACACGAGTCTTCCCATTTCCCCTTAACTCCCCTTAGCTTCAGTTATTCCTTATCTATTTGTCCTTCCTTTATAGCACAGTAACATTCCATCATGTTCACATATCACACTTTGTTCAGCCACCCCCCAGTCACTGGGCATCTCCTTTATCCTGTGTTATCCAAAATAAGTAAATAAATAGAAGGTGCTGCTCTGAAGAATGGTCAATGCAGGTGGAATCTTTCTGTCTTTGATTTTTTTGAGGTGTTTTCCCAGGAGTGGGATCACTGGGTCAGAGGATATGGACATGCTGGACACCTTTTCACACAATGGACAGTGCTTCTTTGCATAATTCCTAATTAATTTCCAGAATGGTTGAACCAATTTCTAGCTGCTCTTGTTCCAAGTGGAAGCTTTTGATGGTGGTGATGTTGTCTTTCTCCTAGAAGCCTGTTCGGTGCACTAGGTCAGGATTCACACTGAGGAGTCCAGACCTGGGTTCTTGTCCTTGCTCTGTCACAAATGACCTCTGCACTTAGCCATACACCAGCCTAGAATAGGCTTAATAAGCCATACAGGCTTTGAGCTCATGCAACTCTGTCCTTTTACATATGGGGAAACTGAGGATGAAAGAAGTTAAGGGATTTTCCCACGGTCACCCAGTGTAGTATCTGACTCTCAGGCCACTAGCTGGGATCAGAGGAGTGTGGCCATTACTTCATGGGCAACAGGAAGCCAGCACAAAGCTTTGAACACAAGAGCAACATGACCACACTGCCCTGACAGACACACTCCATCCTCAGATGTGCCTGAGAATGGACGCTAAGTATCCCCTAGTAACCTGGCTCTCCATGAAGTACTTTGTTTGTAACTTCTAAGACCAAAGCAGTCAGGCCTGCCCTCCCATTAAGGAATCAGCCTGCTTGTTTTCGTTTTTTTTCTTCCCCCCCCCCATCATTCTTTCTCTCTCCCACAACATTCATGAGGTCTGGCATTAGACTACAAATCACCTTTCTTCTAGTGAATTTACATTTATGAAGTGCTTACTGTGTGCAAGGCACTGGTGTGCCAGGCACTGGGAATACAGAGATAGGCAAAAATAATTACTGCTCATAAGGAGATCACATTCCTTTGGCCAGATAAGTCTAATAGAAGGTAATCTGAGGAAGGGGAGAACAGAAGCAAATAGAAGGAACGGAGGGCCTCCTGGAGGAGGTGTCACATGAGGCAACTCTTTTTTTTTTTAGTTTTTAGGCAATTGGGGTTAAGTGACTTGCCCAGGGTCACACAGCTAGTAAGTATCAAGTGTTTGGTTTGAGGTCACATTTGAACTCAGGTCCTCCTGACTTCAGAGCCAGTGCTCTATCCACTGTGCCACCTAGCTGCCCCTACATGAGGCAAGTCTTAAAGGAGGCTGAGGATTCTGAGAGGCAGAGACAAGGTGGGAGGACGTCTCTGGCAGGGGGCCATACATTGCAGAGGCAGGAAGGATGGAGTGGGATGTGATGAACAGCTGGAATATAGAGTGAAGAGAGGGAGCAAAATAAGGCTGGAAATGTGAGTAGAAGCCAGATTGTGAGCAGCCATACAGGCCAGGTTGAAGCATTTCCATTTTCTTCTGGAAGAAACAGTGAGCCATGGAAGGCTTTTGAGAAGGTGATCCTGGATTATGGAATTATTGATTTATTGGTGGAAGGTGCCACTGGAGTCATCCAGTCCAAACCCCTCATTTTATAGGAGAAAATGTGTCAGATCTGTATCTTAGGAGGACAACTTTGGCAGTTGTGGGAAGGATGAATGGGACAAGACAGAGGTTGGAATGAAGGAAATTCACTTAGAGGATATTGCAATAGTCCAGTCTGAGAGGTGAGGGAGGCGGTTATGGGAGTGGAGAGAAGGGGACACATTCAAGGTGTCTTGTGGAGGCAGAATTCTAAAGGCTTTAGCAACAGACTGGACACAGGGACACAAGGGAGGGGCAGGCAAGTGTCGAATATACGTCCAAGGTTTCATCTGGGTGATTGGGAGGATAATAATGCTTTCAGCAGAAATAGGGAATTTTGGAGGAAGGGCAAGTCGCTCAGGGTGAGCGGACAACAAGGTCTATTTTAGACGTAGTTGGGGATGCTCGTTGGGATATCCTGGTGGAGCTGTCCAGCAGGCAGCTGGAAAGGCAGGAGACACATAAGAGCCGGGTACGTAGGTGTAGGAGCCATCTGCAGAAAAGAAGCCGATGAGATCGTAGGGGAGAGAGTGTAAAGGAAGACTCTGAGAAGGGTGCTGGGGTTGGGGGCCTGGAAACCCAAGCTGAGGAGGAAGAGATGGCCGACGATCGAGCAAAGGTGAATGAGAAGGGGCAGACAGGTAAGGGAGGCTGGAGAGAGTAACAGTACAGGAGGAGAAGGTCGGGTGTCAAAGGCTGCAGAGAGGTCAAGAATGAGGAACAGGCCGTACCATCTAGCAGTAAGAGATCAGTGTGCACCTTGGAGAGCGCCCTTCGGAGAAGTAGAGGGGGGTGGGCTCCGAAGGTGCTTCCCGAGATGGGAGTGGGTGGGAAGACGTGCAGGGAGCCCAGTGTAGATTTGTTTGCTAGGTAGCACCTTAGCTGTGGAGGAGAAGAGGACCAGCTGGAAGGTCCGTAGCTGAAGTGGATGGCGGGGTCCAGGGAAGGGTTTAAAGACAGGGGAGCCCTGGGCGCTCTTGTGACCGAGGGGAAAGGAGTTAGCAAATAGGGAGACTGAGGATGGGAGAGAAATACGAAGCCCTGCTGGGCAGGGTCCCCCGCCTCGGCAGCGCAAAGCGTGGAGACGCGGAGGCCGCCCTGGCCTTGGGCGCCGGAGGGTAGCTGGGGGAAGAGCGGAGGCCGGCCCCGACAGTCTCGTTTCTGAATCGGGTCTTCCCTCCCCTCCTTGGGATCTGCAAGCGCCCCAAAGTCAGGGGGCCCAGGGAGAGGGATGGAGAGCGCTGTTTTTATCTCTCTAGAACTCTCCCTGGGGTAGGTCTGAGTCACGTTCTCTCCTCCTCCTGCCAGGGTCCGCCTTGGGGACTGCTCGCCCTCCCTGGTCCGATCCCGGGGCTCCGGGGGAGGCGGGGGTGAGGAGGCTGGGCCTTTCTCGGCTCTGTCCCTGCCCAGCCCCGGCAGGCCCTCGGGAGGCGGAGTCCGCCTGCCCGCCCTTCCCTCCGGAGCCTCTCCCCTTGGGGAGGGGGCGCGGCTCGGCCCCCGTGGCCCTCCGCCCCCCGCGGGCTCCACCCTCTCCTTGGGGCGGCTGCCATCCATCCGTCCCTCCATCCGTCCGTCCGTCTGTCCCGTGCCCCGCTGCCACCGCCACCTCGAGCCCGACCCCCAGGCGCCCCGGCACAAAGCCCCGCACTCACGGGGGTCTGGTACTCTGAGCTCCCTCCCCGGCCTCGATCCCCTAGGGCTCCAGGGCGCGCCGCGGGGATGCCCCGAGGGGGCGGGGGCCCGGCGCCGCGCCTGAGCCCCCCGGCCCCCGCCTCCGGCGCAGCGACCCCTCGGCACGTGGGAGGTGAGCCAAGGGGGCGGGGAGTGAGGCCCCCGGCCCGGCGGCGGGAGCCCGGCAGCGAGGGCGCGGGGGGGCCGGAGGCCAGCGCCGCCTGCGGACCCGCGGCCCGGCCGAGCCCCCCACTAGCCTGCAGGAGGAAATAGCGCGCGGCCCCTTTAAATTTACCCAGGAGCCCTCCAAGGAGCCCCAGGGGCCCCAGGCAGGAATCCCCACCCCGGCTCCAGCCCGCGCCGGCCGCCGAGCAGCGAGCGAGCCCCCCGGCCGCCGCCGCCCCCGCCGCCGCCGCCGCCGCCCGAGCGGAGGAGGTGTCCCCGGCGCCGGGCCCGGCGAGCAGCCCGCGCCCGGAGGGCCGCCCGCGGCGCGCACCGTAGCCCATGGAGCCCGGCGGGGACCCGCGGAGCCGGAGCGGCGGCGGCGGGCCCGGAGCCCCCCGCGGCCGGCGCCCCCCGCGGACCCCGGGCCCTGAGGACCAGGAGGCCGGAGGTGAGCGGACAGCCCGGCGGGGAGTGGGGTGGGGGCGGGGCGGGGGGGTCCGCGGCCCCCGGGCCCTCGCGGCCGCCGAACAAAGCAGGGGAGGGGGCTGGCGGGGCGCCCCCTGGCGGGCTCGGACAACAGCTGCAGACGGGGCGGGGGAGGGGAGCGGGGAGAGGGCCCCGGCCCAGGGCCCCCCACGCGGAACGGGCCCCCGACTCCGTGGGCCCCGGCCGAGCCCACTCCGCCCCGCCCCCGGTCTCTGACGGCCGCCGGCCTCCCTGGGCGTCCCCAGACCAGATCTCCATCCTCCTCCTCCCGCTCGGGGCTCGGGAGCCGCGCTCAGCTGTTCTTAAAGGGGCAGGCCCTCCTTTTTGCGGGAAGGGGACCCTTCCTTAAAGCGACAGGCCGCCCGAGAGGCTCCGCCTGCAGAGGGGGAGAGACTTGCCCAGGGTCCCCCAGGATTACAAGGTTTGGGGGACGGGTAAATGCCCTGCGGAGGACCTCTCTGCCAATCTCCCCGCCCCCATTTCTGCAAAGAAGGAAACAGAGGCCCGAGAGGGGAGGAATTTAGAGACTATTCAGTCCAATCTCCCCTCTTTACAGATGAGGAAACTGAGGCCCAAAGAGAAGGGAAAAAGCATTTATTATTTGCCTGGCACTGTATACTGGCTAAGCAGTATGTTATCTCATTTGATCCTCAGCCTATGAGGTAGGTGCTATTATGATCCCCATTTTACAGTTGAGGAAACTGAGGCAGGCAGAGGTGAAGTTGACTTGCCCAGGGTCACGCAACTAGAGAGTGTCTGAGGCTGGTTTTGAACTCGGGGCTTCCTGACTCCAGGGTCCCACCTGTGGCAGCCTAATCCCCTGAGTCCAAATCCAGTGGTCTTACCTTCTTTTCCAAACGCCCTGTCGTTTCTCCCCAAAGCGCAGCCTCCTTTTGCAATCGCAGCTAGCTGCACCCTGGGTCAGGGAAGGGCTTCTGCTTCCATGAGATGAAGTTTCACTCTCATGACAGTACAAGCGCCACCTTCTTGACCCTGGGCAAGCCCCCTTCCCTCCCCGAGCCTCAGTTTCCTCCTTTGTAAAACAAGGTGGACTGACCAGGATGATTTCCAAGGTCCCTAACACTTCTACTTCTGCTCCTCCCCATCTCCCTTATCCATGGCACCATGGGGTGGAAGCTCAGCCCTACCAATTAATATAGACCCAAACTTTCCCCTCACTGGGCCAATTTCCCAATCTGTAAAATGGGAGAGTTAAACTTGGTCTCCACCATCCCACCCACCTCTCCAATCCCGTGATGCTATGAATTCATAGCTTAAGGGAGATGGATGAACTTGGGGAGTCCCAAACTCTGAGTTCAGATCTGCCACCAGTATGACCCTGGCCAAGCTCAAGACCCCTCTCTCAGCCTCAGTTTCCTCACCTGTAAAATGAGGGGGTTGGGCTGGATGGCCGCTTTGTGCCGCGGCCATCTCCCTTCTTTTCTTCCAGGGACAGCCCCAAGGACTCTAAGGATCAGAGCTCCCCCTCCCCCCTTTGATTTCTAAGTCTGACCTATTCCAGGCACAGACAATTCCTTAGGAGCCTGAGAAAAATCTACTCACTTAAACAAAGTCCGACTAACATACGGGTAGAGAAGAGTGGGGAGCGCAGACCTCCCCCCACCTCCGGAGTCGGAGAGCCCCCAAACCAATTGGATTTTACTGGATGCCGTGACTTTTGGGGCCCCACAGGATTAGGCTGCTCTAGGACCCTACCTATTAAAGGAACAGCCCATCCCCACCCTTGTTATTTAAAGAGACAAAGCCCTTCCCCTCTTAAAGGAACAGTGCATCTTCCTTTGTTTAAAGTAAGATCTAAGTCGTTTGGGGCTGGAAGGGACGTTGGAGGTCGCGTATTCCAGTCCTATCATTTTACAGAAGAGGAAACAGTCATGAGGGAGGAAGAAGGGACTTGACCCGGGTCCAGAAGCTCTCCAGAGGCAGGATTTGAACCTAGGGCCTCTGACTCCAGCCCTACCATTGATTTCTTTGCATTTAATTTGAATGGGTTTGAATCCCAGCTCCCCAGACTGTCAGACCCTGGGCAAGCCATCTACCTCTCCTTCTGTGGACCGAGGAGGTTGGACTGGATGTCCTGGGAGCCGGCTCCCAGCTCCAGACCAGTGTCCTAGCGCTAAGGGGGGGCGGGGACCGGCGGCCAGGGAAGGGGTGGGGTGAAGCCTCAGCAGCCTGCCGGGGTGACCAAGGAGGGCCAGAGGCAGCCCCTCTCACCAGAGTAGTGCCCAACAGGCACTCTTGTGCCCCGGGACGCCGGCGCCTTTAAGAAGTGGTAAGTTGCCCGGCTGACTTAAAGGGGCCAGCTCCATCAGCGCTGCGTCCATCCCAACAATGTCTAGCCTTTCTCTTTTGTTCCTTCCTGGGAACACGTATAGACTTCAGTAGCGAGGAGGGCTATGTAGAAAACTCGGAGGGAGGTTCCCAGAGCCTCTTCACAGCAGCCTGGTGAAGGCAAAGCTGCAAACATAATTATCCCTATTGTAAAGAGTGGGGAAAGTGAGGCAAGTGACTGATGGCCCTGGCCAAAGCCAGCAGCAGAACCCAAGTGTCCTGACTCCCAGGTCTTTGCTGACCTAGTCTGCCCCCTTCATTGTGCAGATGAAGCCCAGAGAGGCTTAGTGACTTCAGTCCATCCACAGGAGTTTATTAAGCGCCTACTGCATGCAAGCCCCTGCGCTGGCTGATGGGGCTTCCTAGAGAAAAGTGAGGCAATTCGGGGCCTCAGGGTGGGGGAGGCGGGAGAGGAGGGGAAGGGCAGGAGACACACCAGTACACAAAGCAGATCTGTGAGCTTCCACTTTGAATCTAGTGCAGGCCACCCAGAGCTGCCTCTGCTTTGGCTGAAGGCAAAAATGAGAATTCCCTTTCCACAAAGCAGGAGCCATCACCCCCTACTCCCCACTGGTTGCCACTTTCTTAAGGGCAAAGAGCCCCCTACTTGGAATTCAGATCGATTTGTTTCCACTCAAGGGAGGGAGAGAGTGTCTCTTCCTGGTTTTCCACAGTTTGGCACCACTAGTGTTTCTTAAGCAAGGTAAAAAGCTCCCTCCCTCGCTGACTTCCTCCTCCTTCTCCTCCAGGGACCCTCCGCTAGGATGTTCCTGAGTGCCCCACCCAGCCCTGGAAGCTGGGCCTGGGACCAGTAGTGAATTGGCTCGGGTTTCCCCTGCTCATTTGCATTGGGTAGTGGTAGATGGGGAGGGGCATTTTTATAGTTCAAACTTGGCCCCTGGTTTTTCTTTCCTAGTGTTCTGCTCTGTCTTCCACCGGCCCTCCCAGACTCAGATCCCTGGGCCCCCACTTTAGAGCTGAGAGCAGGAAATAGTTGGAGGGGGAGGGGAGGAGATGAAGGGGGTGCTGGCAGGCTCCGCCAGCAGGGCCAGGGCTTTGGGAGCACTGTTTGAGTTGGCCTGGGATGAGGCCACTCCAAAGGTACCCTCTGTTCTCTTACCAGGCCGTTGGCTTAACTCAAGAAAGAGACAGACTTGAACATCGACCTGCTAGGGCTAGCCCTGAAGGGCTCGGGGCAGCTCTCTGCAGCCTCAGCCTGGCCTCCTTCTTCCACTTCCCTGGCCCCTGGGGCTCCTTCCCTGGCCCCATCACCACTATCTGGCTGGGGGGGTGTCGAGCAAGATAGGTGCCCAGAGACGTCCTTGAACTTTCCTAGAGTGTCGCCTATCCCCGGGGCTTGGGGGCAGATTTGAAGAAAAGGCCTGAACCCAGAGGAGAGGCAGCCGTGGTAACGTGCTCTCTCTGGATCAGATATTAGAGGCCAGGGCTTGAACTTTGCCACCTACGTCATCTTGGGCAGAATGCCTGCCCTCTCTGGGCTTCAGTTTCTTCATTTGTAAAAGGAAAGAATTGGGTTTTGGTAACTTTAGGGTCCTTCCAGCTCTGCCATTCTTTGTTCTGCAGTGGGTTCTAGCTCTGACATTCCAGGTTCTAAGGCCCCTCCTAGCTCTGACATCTCATGTTCTAAGGCCCCTCCTAGCTCTGACATCTCATGTTCTAAGGCCCCTTCCTAGCTCTGACATCTCATGTTCTAAGGCCCCTTCCTAGCTCTGACATCTCATGTTCTAAGGCCCCTTCCTAGCTCTGACATCTCATGTTCTAAGGCCCCTTCCTAGCTCTGACATCTCATGTTCTAAGGCCCCTTCCTAGCTCTGACGGCTCATGTTCTAAGGCCCCTCCTAGCTCTGATGGCTCATGTTTAAGGTCCCCTCCGGTTCTAGGCCCCATAAATGCCTCTCCACTGGGGGGTAGGGGTGGGGAGGGGCTGGTCTTCCCCAGTCTGGCAGTAAAGCCGGTCATGCCTGTAGCAGCCTGGCTTCTTTCTGAAAAGACAGCCCCCACTTTCCTATCCTCTGGTGGCCTCTTCTAAAGCTTCTGGCTTATTCCCTCTTAAAGGGATAGATTCCTTCTTCTGACTACTCTTTTTTAATGATGCCCAATTATATGATCTCTCCTAACATCCTTTTGTTTCTACTCCCTCTTAAAGAAACAGCACCTTCTTTCCTGCTTTTCTCTAGCACTCCTTAGTCATCTTCCCTGAGACCTCAATTGCAACCTCTAGGTCTCCAAGGGAAAGAACTCAGGATTTGGAGTCAGAAGCATTGGGTTCAAATCCTGGTTCTGCCACTGATTACTTCTGTGTGACCTTGGGTGAGTCACTGTGGTTCAGAGAGTTTCAATCAATAAACATTTATTAAGCACTTAAGTTTGAGGCACTGTGCCAAGCTTGAGAAAGGTAATGAGCTCACAGTCCGATGGCAGGAAGACAACAGGCAAACAGCTCCAGGATGTACCAATCAGTCATTCAGTAGGGTCCAACTGTTAGAGGGGCTCCTCTTTCCTCATCATGCCTTTTAACACCCTCCACGGTCCACGGGATTTTCTTGGCAAAGGCACTGGAGTGGTTTGCCATTTCCTTCTCCAAATCAGACATAGACAGACAAGTTGGAGATAATCCCCAGATCCCTCCTGGGCAAAACAAGGTTAGATGATATGATCTCTGAGCTCCCTCCAGGCCTCAGGCTCCTGATCCCATTCATCTCTGCTATCCATTCCCACATTCTTCTGCTTCCACCTCCCCCCCCACTCCACCATTTTATTCCCTTTCTAGGACCAGGGAATAGGACTCTTGGGTTCTCTTTGAACTATGGGTGAAACCCACCTCTGCTATGCCTCCCTCCCCTCCTAGGGCAAGAGCCGAAGCCAGAGGGTGGTGCCTTGGGGTCCCTCCCTTCCCCCAGGAGCAGGGCTCCCCCCTCTGGTCGGAAGTATTCGGACCACTGCGAAGCCCGGGCCTCCCGCCCTGGCAAGAGTCGAATCCCAGGGCGAGACCATCGCCGATACTACCATGACCATTGGCGGCTGGAATACCTGATGGACTTCAACCCAGCCAGGCACGGGATGGTGTGCATGGTGTGCGGCAGCTCTCTGGCCACCCTCAAGCTCAGCACCATCAAGAGGCACATCCGGCAGAAGCACCCCTACTCCCTGCACTGGAGCCCCCGAGAGAAGGAGGTCATCAGCAGCAGCTGGGATGCCCACCTGGGGCTGGGGGCCTGTGGGGAGGCCGAGGGGCTAGGGGCTCAAGGGGCTGAGGAGGAGGAGGAAGAGGAGGAGGAGGAAGAAGAGGAAGAAGAAGAGGAGGAAGCTCCTGCTGCCCTCCCAGTTTGCCTACCCAAGAGCACAGGTAAAGTCGGGAGTGGGGGAGGAGGAAGGGAAGTAGGAGGGAGGGAGGAGACAGAGGAGAGGCAAAGAGAATGAAGGGAGAGGCACCTTGGAGGAGTGAAAGGAGCCCAGGACAAGGGGCTCCCTCTGTTCATCCCTCCCAGCCCCTTCTGACCTCAGTTTTCTCTTCTGTAAAAGGAGGAGTGGTTCCTCCCAGCTGACGTTTTGGAAAAAGTCTGTCAGGAAGACCTTAGGGACTTGAGGGGAAGATAGTAAGATGTTGAGGCCATGTTCAAGTCTTCGTGTCCCCCCCCCCTTTATAAAGGGGGAAGCCAAGGCCCAGAGAGGAAAGGACTAAAGTCACACATATATAGTAGAACTGGGATCTGAACCCAGACCCCTGACTCCCAAGCCTAGTTGTGCCCTCCTTTCCTCTGGAGAGATAATTAAGCAGTCGATTGAATGTGGACAGTTGGAAGAGGGGGGATCCCGTGGTCTAGGAAGTCAGTGCATGGCCACTGGGTTGGGGGGGTTGGGGGGTGGGTGGGGGGCGTGGAATGAGGGAGTGAGGAGAGAGACGGGGAATGGAGCAGCGCAATCAGAGGGTGGGAACAATGGGAAGGGGGAGAGGGAGGCCAGCGGATTAATTAAGGAAGGGAGGCAGTGCGGGGCTGAGGGGGACCCACTGGACTGGGACTCAGAAGACCGGGGTTATTATCCTAGCCCTGAGCAAGTCCCTTGCCCTGCCTGGACTGCGATTGGACTCGGGACCCTAGGCTTCCTTCCAATTCTGAGCCCCAGGCCCTCAGAGGAGGTGGGGTGGAGGCGGGGCAGAAGCCAGTCCCCAGCCCTCAGTTTCTTCTCCCCCCTTGTTTCAGGTCGATCCTCCTCGGGCAGTGGGGGTGGCCGGCGCCGGAGGCGCGGGGGCCCTTCAGCTCCCCGACGGCCCGGGGGAAGCGGAGGGCTGGGGGGTTCTCGGAGCCTGGAGCGGCGGCTGAAGGAGTCCTTGCAAAGCTGGTTTCGAGCCGAGTTCCTCATGGACTACGACCCGCGGGGCAACCGGCTGGTGTGCATGGCCTGCGGCCGGGCCTTGCCCAGCCTGCACCTGGATGACATCCGGGCACATGTACTGGAGGCACACCCTGGCTCCCTGGGGCTCACGGGCCCGCAGCGCAGTGCTCTTCTGCAGGCTTGGGGCACCTCAGCTGCGGGGCCACCCCACCCTCCACCAGGTGCGAGGCCTGACAGCTCCCCACCCGCGGAGGCTAGGGGCTGCCGGGCAGGAGGGGAGCGTCTCCAGGCCATCCTGGGTTTTTTTTTTTTGGGTGGGGGGGGCGGAGAGAGAGAAGCACTCAGGCTGGACTGCTAGGCAGCGGCTCCTGGGAGCTCTCCCTGGCTCCCAGCAAGGGCCATCAGCCCAAGGTTCACGCGGGACACTTGGGTAGTGTGACACAGTGGGGTGTTGGGGAAAGGAGCTTGAAATGGGGAACAGGACACCCCGGGTCTGAGTCTCAGGTCGCCAGCCCATACGGGTCTGGGCCTGTCAAAGGAGGGAATTTGAGGTGGTTCAGTTCAAAATGCATTAGGCCCTTCCCTGTGCTCGGCTCTGGGCTCTCAAAGCAGGAATGAATCAGTTCTCGCCCTCAGTTGGTTCTAGCAGAGCGTGATCTCTTAAGCTCCTTTCCAGATCTAAAATCCATGACTAACTGTGACGTTGGGTGAGTCTTTCCTGGGCTGCTAGACTTTTCTGGGGGCTAGACTCCCTCAACTCTAAGGTTCCTTCTCCATTTTGTCGGGTCCTCGATGGGGACAGGGGTTGGGAGGCGGCTTCAAAGGGACCCCTTAATGGGCCACAAAGCTGAGCTCCGTCTCTCCTGTCCCCCAGCAGACGACGACCTCGGCCCTCAAGATCTGACCCGAAAAGCGCAGGCTCCAGGCGCAGCCGCCTCCTCCCTGGAGCCCGCTCCCTCGGCCCCTGGTGCCCCGAGAGCCGCGGCCGGGGCGGAAGGGGGTGCAGCAGCCGGGGCATCGACTGGCCTGCCCCGGGGCCGCGACCATCGGCGCTACTACCAGGAGCGCTGGCGGCTGGAGTACCTGATGGAGTACGACGGCGGTCGCCGCGGTCTGGTGTGCATGGTGTGCGGGGGCGCGCTGGCCACGCTCAAGATGAGCACCATCAAGCGTCACATTCGCCAGCGGCACCCGGGCTCCACCGGCCTTAGTGGGCCAGTGAAGGCCCTCATTGCTCAGGAGTGGAGCCGGAAGGCCACGCACCTGCTGGCACTGGGGCTGCCCTTCTCCGAGCTCCCGGGGGTCCGGGGAGAGAGGGAAGAGGAAGAAGAAGAGCAGGAACAGGGAGGAGAAGAGGAGCCCGACGAAGAAGAGGAGGAGGGAGAGTGGGGTGAGCTCGAGGCACGGGGCCCCAGAGGCGGAGGAGGAAGAGGGAAACCTAGAAAGAAAGTCTGCTTGGGAGAGACGAGAGGAGAAAAAGGGGGGAGCAAGGAGAGAGCTTGCTGCAGCAGGGGAAAGGGGAGCTGGGGCAGGATCCCCTATTCGAGCTAAGGGGGAGAGGAGGGATATACCCACAGGTGGGGAGGAAGAGAGAAGTGGGGGGGGCCAGGGAAGGGGAACTGGTGGAGGGAGGAGGGAAGGCGAAGTGGGAGTCCTGGGGGAGAAGGGGAGGAGTCCTGGAAAGGCAGGGGCTAAGGATTGGGCTTAGCCCTCGGTGGGCTTGATGGGCCGGCTCCCATTCCCGTCCCTGGCCTCCTTCCACAGCCGACGGTTCGCCCTCCGCAGAGGAAGATGTCAGCGCCAGGAGGCCCGAGGAGGAGGAGGGGGAAGAGGGGGAGGAAGAAGAGGCCGAGGCCCCGGAGCCGCAGGCCAGCAGCGCCCCCCTGCTCCGCCCCCGCCGCCCCCTCCACCGCCCCCGCCGCCCCCGCGCAGCCGGGAGCAGCGGCGCAACTACCAGCCGCGCTGGCGGGGAGAGTACCTGATGGACTACGACGGCCGGCGGCGCGGCCTGGTGTGCATGGTGTGCGGGGGCGCGCTGGCCACGCTCAAAGTCAGCACCATCAAGCGCCACATTCTGCAGGTGCACCCCTTCTCCATGGACTTCACGGCAGAGGAGCGCAAGACCATCCTGGAGGCCTACGAGGAGGCGGCCCTGCGCTGCTACGGCCACGAGGGCTTCGGGCAGCCGGCGCCGCCCCCGGGGGGCCCAGACGGGGACGTCCAGCCGGGCGCTGTGTGCCGGGCATAGCGCGGATGGGCCGGCTCAGGGCGGGGGGAGCCCCTGCCCAGCCCTGCCCTACTCCCTCCACCTCGGTCTTCCTCCCCAGTGAAAATCTGAACCCTCTGGGGTACCCCAGACCCCACTGGGAGGCCCCGTCTTCCCGGGGCAGCCGCGCCCGTCCCCAACTTGGCTGCCTCTCCGCCCTGTCAGGGGCCCCTTTGCTTTCTGATGTTTACCTCCGCGGCCGCCCTGGCTTCCCTTCCTTGTCCCCCAATCACCCCTTTCCTGCCCCCTCACCCCCTCCTCCTACCGACCAGGGCCGAGTTTCTCCTGAGCTGTAGGTGATCTCTCTCCATCCCAGATGGGTCGTCTTTGGACCAGGGAGAAATAAGGAGCAGGCGCTGGAGAAGCCTTTGTTCAAGCCCCAGCCGCCCCACTCCGCAGGGCTGGGAGCAGCTGTGGAGTGGGCCCCAGGGCAGAGCAGCTGGGGCCGCTACTTCGGAGCTGCCCAAGGTGGTTCAGAGAGTGGAAGGAGGAGGCCAGGGCGGCATGTGGCAGGGTCCAAGGTTGCTTGCCCTCCACCCCTTCATTGCTCTGTCGTCTGGCCCTTTCCCTGAGCGGTTTTAGGAATGTGAACTTCTGGGCCCTGGCATTAGGCATGGCCCAGACTTCCCACTGTCCAGTGGGGGAAAGAGGTTGGGTTAGGAATTCAGACTCCAGGAGGCCCCAGAATGGAGTTCCTGGGGTACCCCAGACCTGACTTCCCCTTTCAAGATGGGTATCCATCCGTTCGTTGTTCACCGTTCAGTATTAGAGCCTCCCGCCTCCGGCCCTTTTCTTCTACGTAGGGGGTGGGGTCTTGGCCAAGGCCCGCATTGCTCTGCTCCATTGACCTAGAAAGGAACCATCCCAGAAGGTGGCATTACAAGCCCCCAGCCTCACTACTGCAGGGCGATTCCCGGCACTGGGTGGGCTGATTATGGGGGCCTGGTCTGTGTTTGAAACGGGAAGTGTTTTGTGGAGACGTTGACAAGGTATCTTCCTACCCTGCCCCCTCCCCTCAAGTCCCAGGGTCCGAGGATGCCAGCTGGGTCGTGTGTCCCAGGTCCTCCCCACTCTGCTTCCCTTGCCATTCCAGTTGGGTTTTCCTAGCTCTAAGCATGACAGTATTATGACGGCAAACAGGTAGTCCCTGGAGCCGGGAGGGGCTGAGAGAGACCCTGGTCGTCAGTTTCAAAGTTATAGCACTTTTTTTTTAATACCCCTTTCCCTTTCGTTGGGGCCCCATCGACCTCATTATTCTGCCCAAAGCTAACTCATTTCTGAGAAGCTGGAAGTTAAGGACCCTGCCAACTTGCTCTCTGCTTCCAGGCCTGTCTAGATGGTACAAGCTGGGGGGAAGTGGCAGTCCTGTCCCTTGTTACATTCCATTCTCCTAACCCTGCCCTTCCATCTCCCTACGGCTAGGGGGTAGGGACATTGACATTTCTGGGGCTGGGCAGGTCAGAAAAACTGGCCAGGTAGTTGGGACCTGAATATTTTAGGGAGTGGGGGTTTATGATCATCTAGGCAGGTCCAAGTTTGGGGTGTTTCGATTCATTCTCTCCTGTGGAGAAAAGGTGGCCCCAAGATCAGGCCCTTGGCTCTTATTTTTTATTTTATTTGGAAAACTATTTAATGCTTTTATATGAAGGGGGAGGGGGAGGGAGCTGGCCATCACCCTTATGTGCAAATGTCTTTATTTATTATTCGTGTATCAGAGATAAGCTGTGAGGTGCACCCCAGGAGACTGTTTCTTACATTGCCCTTGGGGAAGAAGGCAGAGCTCTGGACCACTGAGGGAGGGTGGGTGTGGGAAAAGAATGGGAGAGATCGTCAAGAGATGCAAGGACAGCAAGGACTGAGACAACTCAGCCACCAGTGCTTCTTTGGGCCCCCGAGTTCTGACCTCCAGAAAGTGAGGCTGTAGGGAGCTGAAGGGTTTTTCCTCAGGCGACTGTGGAAGAGGTGTTGTCTTTGGGTTGAGGGATGAGCTGATGGGTTCTTGAGCCGGTACTGTACTGCTAAACCACCAATAGCAGAATACCTTATTATGCTCTGTGGGGGGGCCCCTGCCCAAAGCCAAAGGCTTGTGTTCATGTAACTGGACCGGAGCCTTTCTTCCTGGATCCCGAGCCTACCTCTGATGGGAAGCTGCTGGTGAAGGATATAGGCTGGCTTTCAGGGACTCGGGGATCCTGGACATGACTAGTAGCTGTTGGTGTTTGCCGAGTTCTTTCAAGTGGGGCTGCTCCTGCCTTGCCAACTTTTTTCCAAAAGTGCCCTATCAAGTGGTCCTCTTGAATGGGACTACTTTTATGCCAGGAAAAAGGGGGAATGTTGGGGGTTACTCTTGTTGTGAATGGAGGTCTCTTGCAACTCTAAAAATTCTGATCTAGGATGTTCAGATTTCAAATTCTATCCACACTATTAAAAAAATTAGCTGGGCCTGTTCAATACAATATATGTAATTCAATATTATCTGGGCCTATTCAAAAAGGGAATCACGAATAACTCCAAACTTCAGATCTTTTTCTGAAAAAATCTTGCTTGCCTAAGGAGGAAATTAAATGGCCCATTGGGTGGCACCATTCCCTTGATACTCATGGAATCCCTCAGTGTGTCAGAGCTGGGAAGAGACCCCAGTGGTGACTAAGGTCCTCCCTCCCCCTCTTTACAGGTGAGGAAGCAGGGAAGTTAAGGGACTGGCTCAAGCGGACCCAAGAGCCAGGAAATGAATCCAGTCTTCAGTAGAAACAGCCAGCACCTGAGCCCAATCCCCTGTGCCAACTCAGAGTCCAGCAGTTTAGGGCAACCATCAGACTTTGCTGTCCTTAAACCTAGCTCCCTTCTCAGTTATGCCTAGGTGGAAGGCTTTGCCGACCAACTGAGCCCCAAGTGCTCCCAAACAGGTGTTGGAAATTCTAAGAAATTTCCATTCTTAGTATTATCAGGTCCCCTGGTTTCTTCCCCAAAGTGGCACCATTTGCATATTACAGAAGCTGTGGCAGAGGGGTTAGCGGGCAGAGCCCTGGTGCCATGGCGGCCGAGGTGTGCTGCATGCCAACCCAACACTCTGCCTCAGTAGTCTCCACGGTTGATGTGTCTTCATGAACGTTTTTTAAGATGGTATGCTTGCTGTTATAGCCAATATGTAAATGTTACTCTGAATATATATTTATATGCCATGTTACTACTTAGTGACATTATCCAGACATTTGTATGCGTATTTGTGAAAAGTTGTTTGCATCCATTTTTTTTTATATCCGCCTAAGTTTTGTAAAAGAGGTATGTTGAATAAATTCTTTAAAAATGAAGAGTCGTGGTTCTGCTGGTAGATGGTCCAGACAGATGGAGTGAGGCAGGAACCCAGAAGTTCTACAATTTCTTCGGCAGACCTTATGGGGTTAGGACTGGGAAGGAAATTCAGAGTCCCTTGTTGGCCAGTCTACACTTAGCCATCCTTTACTGGTGACTGAAGATCATGATTTTGCCCAAGCCTCCCAAATTCCCATCCTAACGTGGCTTTCAAACCACATGCCTCCATTTTCCTCTTGCGAGAGCACCCTCTTCACGATTAGCCCAGAGTCCTGGGGAATGTGGGATGTCTTCATTGTCAACGATGCCCGTAGCGAAAGAATGCACCAGCCTGAAGCAGGGATACCTGTGTACCAACAAACTAGACCAGAAGCTTTTCCAGCTGGGTACAACTTACCAGGGCTAATGCTCCAGGGACACAGCCCTTCAGGAACCAAGACCCCTCCACGCCAGGAGGCGACATCTAAGGAGAGCTAAGTTTCTGCTCTCCTCCCACCCCACCCTAGGCCATAAGCCCCTGAAGGTGCATGCATGCCCAGCACACAGCACAGGCCCTCAGGGCACCCAGGAAGCGCCTAATGTGTGCTAAATGACATTGACATTTCAGACTCTGGGGCTTTCTCAGGTGGATCACAAATGTGTTTGTGGTCTGGGGGACAAGCTGTGGAGTCAAAGAATCGAGTCAGCCAGAATCACAGACGTCGTGTTCTTTTTATTAATACCACATCAATTTGCAGTTTGACAGGAACCAAGATTCTCCAGGCTCCTTGGAAGGGCTGCTACTGTATTTTATGTTGCACGCACATACACGCACACACACAGAGCTTCATTAGTAATTTTTTGTCTACATTTTTTTCCTTTAAAAAAAAAACAACAACAAAACCTGCCTGGCACAAAGATCTGTCCAATGATCAAAACACAGCAGTAATAATAGAACAGACAGAAGCGCAAGGCATGGAGGCGGCTCCTGGGGTAGAAAGAGGTCCTTTGGAGGGGGAAGCCCAATGACCATCAGGGCCCTGGAGGAGGGAGAAAGGCTGAAGAGGAACAAGAGCAGAGGAAGAGGATGAATGGGGAGGGACAATGATGTCTCTAAGTTCCCAGCACCAAAGTCTTCCTACTACTCATCTAAGATCCCTAAAAAGGAGTTTTTCAACAAAGAGAGAACTTTTCCTACGCTACTTTCTACTGAGCTGCAGTTGTGGGCCTAGAAAAAATAGGACCATTTCCTCCAAATGTTCCACATTCACTACTTAACACCTTTGGCAGCTCACATGTAAACGTAGCAACAAATTGTATTAATGGAAATCAAAAGCTTGCCAAATCTACTGTCAGAAAGAAATGTTAGGAGGGAGGAAAGAAAGACACTTGTAGCAGAGCCCAAAGTGCTAACTAATTCTCACAGCAGTAGCTGAGTTAGGCTCAGCTGCTCTGCACCGTTTGTCCTCTGACTGGATGTGGTCATCACCAAAATGACCCGGCACCTCACCCACCCTGCCTCAGGAACCAGGGCCCTGGTCCTAGAGGCCCCAGCTAGGAACTGCTTCACCACCATGTCATAAGGGACAGTTTGGGCCAAGGCAAATGTTGAAAAGACATATTCTCCACTTGCCCCCATAAAAATGAAGAAAATCTTCGAAATAAACACATATAACCTCCAAAATGCAAAGCTACCCTCAAAACAAGGTTAGACTCCATGTAAACCACAAAATGTACTTCTATAAACTAATCTGCATTTTGTTCTTCCGATTAAAAAAAAGGGGGGGGTTAATTTCCTCCTCCCAAACCCATGCTGCCAACCAAAACCCCTTGTTTTGGGGGTCAGAGGTTGTTTTTAGTACAGCTCAGGCACACTGCTCCTTAGGGCAAAGATCAGAAAGGTATGTAAGGACAGCCCAGCGGAGAAGACAACAGACAGGGCAAAGAAGGGAGGTGGAAGAGGTGGGTCATGTTTCACAAGTTCCTCTGAGCATATTCCCCTAGCCCGGACTGAGATAGAATTACAACAACTGAGGAGGCCACATGCAGATTATTTTTCTCTACCAAGTTTACAGCAGTTACAGACTTTTTATTTCATAATATGAAAAGTACAACCTTATTAAACTTGAAGTGAGGTGGGGGAGAGGGAGGAAAGCACAATATAGGAATGAGTTATAGAAGACTAAAGCTCAGAACTGGTGTCAGAGAAAAGGAATAACACAAGCGTCTGCTTCTCAGAACGGCAGCTCCTTAACCGTTCAGGGAGGAGAGAGGGGCAGGCTGAGGAGGGTCCCTTCTGGCCCTCATTCTCCAGTACCAACAGCTCGCTTATTAGACAGAAAGAACATCATTACTGTTTCTAAGTTACTAAATGGGACCAAGGGCTGCACCTTTTCAGAGGTCCCCCTGGAGAGAAGAGCAAGGACCATTGTGCTGGCCTTTCCTACAGTGCTGCAGGAAAATGAGGCCAAAGAGGTTCAAAAGACCTAGAAGATGTGAAATACTAAAGTCCTTTCATGCCCATACTGCTGTCCCAAAAGAATTTGCCAAAAATAAAAACAGTTCTCTTTTAATTTAAAAATAAAGATAAGCTGATGATGAGAGATTGGTAAAGACCAGTCTCTGGGAATTAGGTGGTCGGCCTCTTCCCTGCTCTTCCACCCTCCCCACCCCACCCCTACCAAACTAGCTGTGGATTCATGCCATTGATGTGATCTTTCTTTTATTCTCGTAGATTCTAAGACATCAGTTCTTTTTAGTCCAGAAGACTCTTGTGCTTGGTACTGAGGGCAAGGATGAGGGAGGGGAAAACTACCAAATTAAAAAAACAAACCAACTTGGAATGCAGGCTCAAGCTGACAATGAGCGTATACTCCTTCATACGAGTAACAATGGTTATAAACTATTAAATGGTGTTTTAGTAACTGTTGGATTTCCAGTTTCTGAACGGTTATTATTCTGCCTTTTTCTTTGCAATGCCAGGCAGTTTTGCTTGGATCCTATGAGAAGAAACACAAAAGAAAAAAATGACGCCACCTTTGGAATAAAACACGTTTTAACTCTAACACGAGGTGAAAGAACCCTAATTCGTGATTTACACACTAAGTAGATCTGTGATCTCATCAGGGTAGGGATTCCCCTGATGTGGGAATTCCCTTTGCCCACACAGATTTCAATCTATGATTCAGCTCATCAACACCAGGCCAGGCTCACAGAGGCAAGTGAACTTGCCCAGAGTCACATACCTATTCAGTACTGAGGTAGAATTTGAATTCAGGTCTTCTTGATTTCAAACTCCATGTTCTCCACTACGTAAGTTTACTAGACACCCTATTTGCCTCAGTTTCCTCATGTGTCAAATGAGCTGGAGAAGGAAAGAGCAAACCAGTGCAGTGCCTTTACCAGGAAAATCCCACATGGGGACCGAGTCAGACACAACTGAATCAAATAAACAACACCGAGTTTGTGTTACTGTTCAATTGCTTGGTTGTGTCCAACTCTTCGTGACATAGTGTCCATGGGGTTTCTTGGCAAAGACAATGGAATGGTCAGCCTTTTCCTTCTCTGTTGGATTAAGGCAAACAGAGGAGAAGTGACTTGCCCAGGGTCACACAGCTAGTAAGTGTCTAAGGCCAGATCTGAACTCAGGTCTTCCTGACTCCAGGCGCGGCACTCAATCCACTTAGCCATCTAGCTTCCCCTACCCCATCACGGGAGTAAGCTTCAGAATGTTTCAAGGGAAGAAGTTTCGATGTGCCAGGAAGTTATTTTCACACTGTAGCAATAAGAAATACTTACTTTGCAACAACTGCCTTGGTCTGATCACGAGCAATGCCAACATAATGGTCAATCTGCGTCTTTAAGGAAGAAAGACAGTGCAATTGCAAAAGCAGAAAGAACGTTCAATTTCTTTTAAGCAATTCCTCCCCTATGTAAGTCCTTTTCCTCTAATGTAACTATGTTCACCTACGCAAAGGAGTAACACAATGCTGAAAAGCCACAGGAAGAGCTAGCCATGAATTCTTCCATGATCTGGGGACATAATTTGGATTTTTTATTTTCTGTTACAAATGTTCCTCGCTCACTGAAGCCCTAAGCTTGACAGCACCTCTACTGAGGTGCTCCCCTAGAAGTCTACGGGAAATAATAATGATAAAAGTATGAAACAAGTTTTCAACATCTAATAGACTGAAATCAACCATTCTTCAATAACACTTTATCTGAAATAGTCAATTACTTACCTTGTACTTTTCATAGACAATTGGAACACTGAAGACCAGCAGTTCAGCTGTAAGAAACAATGTTATGTAAGGAGGAAATGTATGGCATAATCAAAGCAATATATGCACCTTCTAAATCTGAATTAAAGAAAACAGTTCTAACTTCTGATTCACAATAACTCCCAGAAAAGAAATCTAAATTAAGAATGTAATTTGAGCTTTAGGGGGATGCAGGAAAATAGCGGCATACCAGTAAACATGGTTTGTGAAGGACACTTGGGGTCAAGGCCACGTGGCACAGTAAAGACAAAGACGGTGCCGGACCAGCCTCTGCACCCACTGACAAGCACGTCAGTGCCTGTGCCAAATGCTGGGACTACAATGGCAAAAACAGGGCTGTGTTCACCCCTGCCCTCAAGGACTTCTCGTTCCAGTGTAAGAGATGACCCATCGCTAACTAGGAAGAGACAACTCACACACACACACAGAGCACAAATGGGAGGCGGCCTCCTCCCCAGGGAAGTTCTCCCAGACTTTGACTTGCAACCTCTTCCCAAGCACTCTAGCGACACCACTGCCTTACCAAGAATCAGGAGGGTGATCCCGTTGAACACCGCACCCACGTACGTCATCAGCCACATGAAGACAGCCAGCTACAAAGGATACAGTGAGGCCATCAGAGGCACCATCCCAAGGTGGCAGACAGTTCACTGGAGATTCCCCCAGCTCAAAGGTCAGAAAACTTTGGCCTGAGGCCTGTTTTTCTGCACAACTTGTGAACCAAGAATGGTTTCTGCACTTTTAAGTCCAATGAAACTTCATTTAAAAATGTAAAAAATATTCTTACCTCGAAAGCACACCGGGACAGTTTGCCGACCTCGCTCCTTAAGTGAGCACCTGCCTGCCATCACTACTAACTCTAGAGGTTCTCAAGATGGCAGAGCTGCTAAGGTTCTGTAGAACCCTTACCCCAAAGCCAGATTTAAGCCGAATTCCTGCTAGTTACTTTCTCCCCTTCCTCCTCCTGATCTGTGTTCTTTTAGCAGGAAGAAGGGGCTTCTCCACTACTTCCCGCCCTCCCTTTGTAGACTCAGTCAGGGCTCAGCTCGGTTTAGTTAGTGCCTGGCTTCCTCTTGCCTTTCCCCCACCGAGCCCTCATCAGCCCCTCGAGCTCTGACCTTTAAGGAGTCCACCAGATCTTCCACAAGAAAGAGACGGATGACGAGCTTGAGGGCCTTGTTGACATGGACCATGGCAGCGTTCACGTAATTATGGAAAGCTTCTGAGGACAAAGCAATGTCCACATCCAGATAGGCCCTTCATGGAAAAAGACAAACTCATCCATCTAGATTTTCTTTCTAACAATGTAGACTGCAACCCACCCATGCCTGCCTCTCTTAAATCTCAGCCCTGTCTTCCTACAAGATCACAACCAATCCGGGATCCACCCAACAAGCTGGAAGCTTCCTCTTTGCTTGCAAGGAAGTATAAATCTGGTCTCCTAAGTGGATGGTGAATGGGACACTACTCAAAAACTCCTAGGTCTCTACTCTCAGCTTTATCATGTTACTGTGATGTAACCATGAGCCTTGTATTGACCTTCTTGTCTGTAAAACGAAAAGTAAAATTTCTGCCTTAAAATGAGTTCATGAGAATTAGGGGCAATAACTACCTAAAGCATTTAGTTACAAAATAAAACCCCACCATATAAATTCAGAATCATGTTCTTAAGGACAAAAAAGTGGCATGGAAAATGCACTAGCAGAGCCAATAATAAAATTACTTCTTTAAACCATTTTTCTTGCATATTTTTTTTTGGGGGGGGGGTTGAGGCGATTAGGGTTAAGTGACTTGCCCAGAGTCACACAGCTAGTAAGTGTTATGTGTCTGAGGTCACATTTGAACTCAGGTCCTCTTGACTCCAGGGTCGGTGCTCTATCCACTGCCCCTCTTGCATTTTTTTTACAATCCTAAAGAACATATGTTGCCTGAGGTAAAAATTATTCCTTTTGTTTTCTTTAAATGAAAGGAGACTAAGGGGCAGAGTGGCAGCATTAAATCTTGGGGCAACTCTGAACAAATCTCTTCCTCCCTACTTGGGAAAGCTCCCTTTTCTCTAAAAAATGATAAAAATACTTGCCACTTCTTTCCCTCAAAATAATACTTTAAGGGGTTGAGACTTTCAACAGGAAAGTGTTAGAAACCCTATGACTGATATTTGCAAAAAAGTCTGAGTAGCCAGAGAGTGATCCCAGAAACATATGCCCACCTACCTATCTGGTTTTACCAAAACCTGACCTCTAACATAAATGTAGTTGAGGCATTAACAGAACTATGTGATGAATCAAGAACCCCCAACTTCTCCGGCCATTTAACATGCCATGGATGAAAACACTTTGCCAAGCATTAAGATTTATAGAGTGTTCCAAGGCCTGACTTTCCAAAAGGCTAGGGGCCGTTAAGTTACCCCATCTGTTCACTATTTCAAGCTGTTAGTTTCTGCCAGATGTGGGACCTGAAAGGTTCTCTAGCCCACCAGTGTAGCCTCCACAAAGTGCCCCTTCTTGGAGAAACCTCCCTTTGCAAGGAATTCCTTAGCAGAACCCCATGCTGCTTAATGGCACCACACCAGCGCATGGAGTAAACTCTTACAGTATTTAGCACAGTCATAATGGTCACTGAGCTGCAGAATTTCCTTCAAAATACTTTTCCACTCACTTGAATGGATGGCCCTCTTCTGACTTCTGTACAGCTTGGATGACAGACTTGTAGACCCTGAAGCTGATGGTGACAGAGAGAAGGGCCAAGATGAGGTAAGAAGCCACACTGATGACACTGAAAGCTGCTAGGGACAGCAGCATGATCAATGTTGTGCCAAAGACAAGGCCAGTCTTCTTGACATCCCGCCAGAAGATGAGGTCGTGCACTGCCAAAGGAAAAGGAAGAAGCTGTAAGAACACAAGCAAGTACCTCAACATGGTCTGCTTCTAGCTGGTCCTTGTCCTCGCCAGGACACAGTGTATTCTCTCTCTATGAAAACCTACCAGACAAAATTAGAGGGCAGCATTACTGTAAATGGGATTCATTAGACAAAAGGCTTGAATCAACAGTGCTCCTTCCAACACTGAGTTTCCCCAACTGCATCTAAAATAAAATGGCATTTATGTATAGCTTTTCAGAAATACCTCCATTTTCACAAAGCAAACTAGAATTCAGTAAAACCCAAGTCTAAGTTAGGAGTTTGGATTCAACAGAATATCAAACAATGTTTACTGAAAGAGTGTTTTTGCACAGAGGAGAAATTTGTAATAAACACATCTGGATGTGTTCTTTTAAACATAACCAGAATAACTCCGGATGTTACGGGGGATTCCAAAGTCAGAGACGGAAGAAACTTAATTCCTTAGAGTTTTAAAAGCATTACACGTGATAGCTAGCTACCAACACATGAGCTAATGACAATTACTCTACCTCTGCTAGACATAGTATGTAGGACAATGACTTTTCTATTGGGATTTCACTGATGAAAAGGTGGCTACTTCTAATACTGACAGTGCTACTGTCTTTTAACAGGGTGTCTACCGCACAACTGACATAAAAAATACGTTCTAGTTATCAAAAGGGATTTTAGGATCCAAGCTAATATATCCAGGACAGGCAATTTATGTCTAATAATCTTAATTGCTTGTAAAGCATTACTAGGGAAAGCTATACTAACACCATTCCCTCCATTCCCCCAAACCTTCAAGAATCTAGGGATAGAGATGTCCACAGGTAAATGAAGAAATACTAAGCTAATATCTGTCAAGAAAAAATACTAAAACAACAACTCTGGCCAAGAGATGGGAGATAAGGAGTGATTACTCTCTTTGGGTCAGGGTTAACAAATGTAATCCTCGGTGAAAAGTGGAGAAGTAAAACTTTAGGGAAAACCCAGTCTTTTCTGTGAAACCTTTGAGTGCGTAAAGGGAAAAAGAACGAATTTGTACTGGGGGAAGGAGAGAGATCCAAAATAAACTGAACTACACTGAAATGAGGGGAGTGGAGCAAGATACTTTGAGTTCACAAAGAAAAAGCCAGTTTATGAATTTTGGGGAACAGGGGCTTGGAAATCTTTCCAGCTGCTTCAAGTAGATTTCAGGAAGGTAATTTTAACCAAACCAGAAACAATGAATACGAACCTGGGGTTTTACCCTAGAAATGGCCTGTGACTGAGATCATTAAAAGTTCAACCTTGGAATGGATGGTGGAGGTGTGGCCAACTATCAAAGAAGGAGAGCTGACCTAGGGCTAAAGGAAGCATTAAACACTTGGGATAAATGAACTAGTATCTTTAAGCTTTTAGTTAATTAATACAATAATAGAAAGTGGCACACCTTTAACTTAACTTGGACTCTGAAAGTCCCTCAGATTGGAGCACTGGAGTCAGCGTGTCTCTGACTTTGGCTCTGATACGTACTAACTCTATCACTGTGGGCAAATCGCAATCTAAAACTCAGTTTCCTTAATCCTCCCAACTCTAATGTTATATGATCTTAGTATCTATTTCCTCAGCATGTACATCTGTTTATCTGATTACAAATAAAACAAAATTCTTTGTATTCACACAAAGGGAATTTGATCAACATATCCAAGCACTCTGACAAAGAAACCGAAACACAAGGTTTACTGATTTGCTCATCATCCCAAAATCCATTCAGTAACTGACTTGTTCCACTCTATAACTGTACAAAAGCAGGTCAGAAGCACACGGATATTAGGAAAGGACACCTCAGGAGGGAAAAGAGCATGTCTAGAGAGAAGGCCAGGGACACATACAGCCTCAAGGTTATGTATCTGCAGGCAGCAAGAGTAGTGGGTCCTATGACAGCATCCCAGAGAGCTGCACCTGGGCAGCAATGGCACAGAACTCATACCAAGACGGTTCAAACCTAGGGGCTTTAAAGCACCCCAGAACTTTATCCCGGAACGCCAGAGAGAGCCCTCAAGATTCAGTGCTCAAAGATCCAGGGGACAAGTTTACCCTGGCAAGAACCCAAGGGACACACAACAAGACCAGAGAGTCGGACCCAAAAGTGTATCAGGGGATGGAGCTCTGCCCTAGCACGGAGCTCTATTTAGGAACTAAAGCTGAAGAAATAAGTAAGTCAAAGAAAACAGACCACTGCCAAGAATTATTGCAAATCTAACTCCGTAACAACTGTAAGTTTTTCCTTTTTCAAAGGAAAAGAGGAATTTTCCTCAAAGATTACATTACCTAGGGGGGCAGCTAGGTGGCACAGTGGATAGAGCACCTGCCCTGCAGTCAAGAGCACCTGAGTTCAAATGTGGTCTCAGACATTTGACACTTACTAGCTGTGTGACCCTGGGCAAGTCACTTAACCCTACTGCCTAGTTTAAAAAAGAAAGAAAGAAAGATTACATTACCTTAAAGAAATGAAGCATGAGACAAAAGCTCCTAAGAAAAGACTCAGAAGGAGAACTGGCTTAGAAGATTAAGTGGTAAACCTTAACCAAAAAATGGAATCGTTGAAAATCAGACTAGACCAGAAAAGTCAACAACCCCATGACACAGTAAGAAACATTAAAACAAAACCAAAAAATTGAAAAGAAGAAAATGTTACATATCTGATATAAAAAAAAATTACCTGGAAAACAGGTCAAGGAAAGATCATTTAAGAATCACTGGATTCCCTGAAAATCGTGATTTTTAAATGTCTGTATTTCAAGAAATCATAAATGAAAACTGTCCAGATCTAGGAATGTCATATCTAAAATCCAGAAATTTCCCATTTAAAAGAACAAAACAAAACCCAGCAAACATCTGGAAACTGCAACCAGGTGCACACAAGGTTTGGCAACTTCTACTGAAACCAGAGGACCAGAATACTGGGCTACAACATTCCAAAAGGCAATAGATTTGAAACCAAGAATACTATAATTCTAGAGAGAGGAAAGCATGAACCTTTATTGGAAGAAGACTTTTAAGGATTCCTGATAAAAGGGCCAGAACTAACAAGGAACTCCGTAATACAAAACATTAGAATCAACAGAAACCTAGAAAGGGAAATTTATTTGAGCTACCAGAAGGAACCACAGGATAATGTAGCACTAACATTTTAATGGCAAAGAAGAAATGAGTGTTCCTTCAGAATCGTCGTGTCTTAAAAGATATACAGTTAATTAAATAAGATAAAACAATTCCTAGGGGTCGAATGGTTCAGTTCAGAAGATTTTTGAGAGGGGAAAGGGAAGGAAGAGTAAAACAAGGAACATGCTAGAGGAGAAAGAAAGAAGGGGAGTGGACTTGTTACTCCTCATAATCAGAGTACATGAGAAGCCATAAGCAAAAGGAAGGGAAGCCAAAAGTGGTCACCAGAGAGCTATCTTACCTGAATACACAGTCTGTTCCAGAAACTGATCAAACTCAATTAGGGAAACCAGCTTGGGGGCTCAAGGGAGGTCAGACGTAGGACAACAAGCTGAAGGGAAGAGTCACATACAAGACAAAACTTCCTAAAACTAAAGGGGGAATTAAAAGAGGGAAAAACAAGAATTACAATCTAAATGAGGGCCTTACTGGGGACAACTGGGGAATGGCTGAACAAATTGTGGTATATTAATGTAACGGATGAAATTACGAAAGAGACAGTATCAGAGAATACCGAGTATTATGAAATGAACCTGAGTAAAGTAAGAACCAGGATAATAACTGATACAAAGATGACAACAACACTGTAAAGAAAAATAACCTAGAAAAACTTAAGAAGTCTTATCAAAGGAATACTCAACCATGTCTCCAGGACACCTGTGAGGACACCTGTTACCTGTCTTGTGACAGATACAAGGGAAAGACAAATATATTTTGGACATGACCACATGTGAATTCCTTCTCTTTGCTTGTCTGTTACAAGTTTTAATTTTCCCTTTCTTTCTAGATTAATACGAAGAAAGAAAGGACAATTAACAACAGTAAAGTTAAAAAAAAAAAAGAAATGCCTTTTAAACTGGACAGCACAAAAACAGGAGGGGAATTCAGAAGGAAGCACAAAAAGGGGTAGTTTTAAAAGTAGTTTGTAGAATGTATTACATACTTTTAAAAGTGGTGAGATTTTATTTCATATAGAATATATGAAAATGTCCTTTCTTTGAACCCTAAAGTTAGGACCAGACTGTTCACTTGTGTGCATTATAAAGCAAACTCAAAGTCAAGAGTATCAAAAATACTGAACAACCAACCACAGCTTATCTTTGCTGAAAGGCTGAACCAGCGAACAGAACATTAATTCTGATGCCTGAGGCACAACTAAATTATTAAGGAAGAAATGACTTTCCCACGGTATGCTGTTTACTAAAACCTCTGGGTTAGACGCCGGACTTTGAGAGCACCGTGATACACTCGGTGTACACTGGCTGATCTATAAAGGAGGGTCTGTCAACTGGGAGAGTTACACAGGCGACTTGCCAAACTTGTCAAAATGCATAAGCGTTTCAAAAAGGCTGCTTACAAACAAATGATCCGATCACACTTTGTCTCTTACTCAAGAAACACCACCAGAGAGCACTTTGGTAGCATTGGGTTAGTGCTCCTTATTCTTTGTCAGGCCAGGGATGACCAAAAGGAATGCCAAGATTGCGTTTTCCTCCTAACCCTAGATCCCTAATCTGAGAAACTGCTGTTGTAATTCCCACTCCCTAGCCAGTCAATTCATCCATCCCCTTGGCTCCCCCCCCATCCTGGACCTGACTTTACAGCAAACCAGCCACTGCCCTCTCCAGGTTGTCCCTCTACCTGCCTGCCTGCCCTTGGCTTCACCTGCTGGTCACTGAACCCCTACATGGACCTGTCTCCCCACCCCCATCTCTATACTTTGCCTGGGCTATCCCCTCACATGGCTTCAATGATCATCTCCCTGCAAAAGACCT